CTCGTCATCTTTTTGCCATGTATCTCTTAGAAATAATATAAATGTTGGTCAGAGACTTGATATAAGCCAAAGAAAGACATGCTTCAATGACAAAACTATGCGTGCACTATTCAGAAACTATATAATTTTGAGATATGTGCAGAATGAGGTATATATTCAGTCACTTTTTTTTTCTCCGATAAATGTTTCAAACATAATATCTACTCGTAATCTTACACGATGTAAAATAGGAAAGATATTTTAAAATATGGGTTGGACACTCAAACATAAGCAAATTTTATATTTTATAGCTTAACTTGGTGGTTGTAATGTGCCAAAATTGATGTATTTTTCTGAAAGCGGTTAAACCCACACTCATCATTAGAGATGCTCATAAAACTGCCTCGAGTAAAGAATATGAAAGTCCTGTGAATGACACATAATCTGTTAGGGTTTATATTGGCTTTCATGCTGATGCCCGCGTTTGACCCGAAAGAGTCCTGCGGGATTGTTTAATCGTTGGATTTATTTGTTAAAGAATACGTGGAGCTTAAATTTGGATATTGAAACTTTCTGATCGAACCTATTCATTTCAAATAGTACCTTTTGATGCATGAATCCATTCTCTTGTAAATGAGTGTCATTCGATTCTATCAGATCTTCGCCTTTTCATCCGCGCCTTTGGGTTTGGGTTTTCAAAAGCTAATCACCTCATCTATTTTAATTTTTCAGAAACATTCAATATACAAGTAATGAAGATTTGTCATGGCTCACTTGAATCCAGCAGTAGAATGTACACTTAAGACCTAAAATTTTCATCGACATTATCAATTAGATAGAAGATATAAATAATAACTTTTCTGGTTCAGATAACATCACGGTTATAACAAAGGGAGGGTTTAGAAACACAAGCCCATAATCATAACTCAATTCATCAAAAGAGATTTTCAAGTGCAACAATAATCACCTGAGTATATCCCTTGAGTGCAAAGCTTACGTTGAAAAAAGGTACAATGCTATTTTTTTCCTACAATGCTGTGCAGGTTGTGCTGGAAAGTGGCACGGTTCAAGCTACCATAACCAAGCCTGAAGGGAATGTTGCAGGAGTCAAATATGAAGGAATGGCCAATCTCTTGGACGCATAATTAGAAGAATCTGACCGGGTATATGTGCTCTCCCATCTTCTTTGGATCGGATATCTTCAGCTGCTAGTTGATCTTCTCGAGATATATATATATTTCAGAAAGCATCGTGTCATTGAGACTTATATTGCCTCCTTGTTGATCACAAACCGGTTCTCCCACAGGTACTGGGACATGAACTGGAATGTGCCAATGGATTAGATACTTATGACCTGTAAGTTGCATCTTAACTTCCCATTAAATGTATGTGCTTGAGATAGACTTTGTAAGAAGGACACAAGTGGAGAGATCAGCTCGTTATTTTCATCATATATCTTCATTTCTTTGACTACTCAAATGCAAGTGACATACTTAATTCCGTACTCATAGGTAGTTTTTCCTTTCCTCGTCATCCCACATTAGAAAAACTATTAAGTTGATTATGTCTTCGCTAGATGATCAGATATAAATGTATCACATTTCTATCGAAAATTACCGTCGAACCATCTGTCAACTGGTTCACTCAGATGAAGACAAAGTGGAAAGTTCTTTCACCCGACCTTACGATTCAACTCAAACACCAGCCATTCTGCCTCTTGATGTCGACAAGATTCAAAGTTTGCTGGAATGCATCCTTTGCTTTGCTTTATTTCCTCCTATGTCTAAGACTGACAAAACTGTAAAATTAAATGGTACACAGACCCAAAAGTCCACAGTAAAAATCCAAAGATTTCTCGAGGTTCTCGCAGCCAAGGGCGACATGATTCAGCCCTGTGAACTGGACTGCAATACTCAAACACACGTAGAATGACATCTCAGGATAGGACTTACCCATGGATGGAGTTTGTATAGTTTTTTTTATAAGGTGGTTTGTGGAAATTTTGCATTATCAATCATCTTTGCTGAAGAACCAGACCTCCTCAATTACTTGGCGGCATAGAATCTAAGTCCTTCTATGGTTTAGAGCATATACTAAAATTCAAGTGTAAAGAACAAAGCTCTTACAGGTATCGCAGCCCCTGCATTGCATCAAGTGGTCAAGACTCCATGACATCAACAGATTCTACTCCGATGCAATATCACTGCTAGATTGCCTTAAGATTTCTCAGTAACGTGGAACAAACTTTTCTGGCAGATTCGAAGGTAATCGTTAGTGTTCGGCATTACATTCTGTAAACATATAAATATACGGCAAACGACCTTGAGGTGTTGAGGCAATTATAGTCGAGTCTAGCATGGATGCTGACAAGAAGCTTGCGACTTTCCCATCTGGTGAGGCTCCAGGAATAAAGGCAGTCATGAATGAGGTGCATTAAGCTAGAGAAACGTTTTGGATAGTGCATCCATATCAGCGTTATGAGCTTCGCTAGAAAAACTATTTTTTGGCTCGGGCACAGCATTTTTTTTTTTAAACACGCAAAAATAAAAAAAAATATTGGAGAATATCTTTTGTTTTTCAATTGTTTCTTTGCATTCAATTAATGCTCAGGACGCCATGTATGAACAGGAGAATATCGATGGACTAGAATCAGAGAAGATTATGAAGTGTAGAAATATCCGGCTCATTGGAATCATAAATTCAAGTCTTCATCACCTTAATGACATCTCAGTGATAGCAAGAAAGCTGATCCTGAATTATGTCACTGGCAGAAAGCTCTCCAACGGGTTGCATGGAACATTGTGGCCTGAACAACGACTCGAATCTCAGAACTGAAGCACTGAGACTACTTCAGGTAGAGAGTACTACTTATCGACATGTGGCAGATGCAAGATTGTCAGTGGTACTATTGTTCAACCGAAAGCAAGGAGAGGCGCTCGCTGCAAAGGACTGGCATTTCTGCCCCCTCCGATGAACACAGGTTTGGACGCTCGCCTACAATCTGAGACCTACAATAAATTATTGAGAATTTTCTTTGAGAATATGTTCACATCAAAGTGGCTGATTTCCACATCGCAAGCAGGTTTCACCACAGAAGCATCAGATAAAGATTCAGCTGCTTTGCACGAGGAGAGAGATTGTCAACATATATTCAGGCTTCAGTATATCACAGAATAAATTTGGTCCTAAAACTTGTGCAACTTCTCAGATTAGCAAGTCAATGTCGTTCAGGTAGCACAAACCTCCTTGTTCTACCGCTCAGAATATGCATGAGAGGTATCTGGACAGAAAGATCCTCCTCCCCATTGCCCAGCAGAAACGTTCAAGGGCAGGAAACAACCTTTTTCTCTAACTCTGGTCAATTAGTTCCAACCACCAGATTTCACCGTCTCCATATATGAGATTTAAGAATGCATTTCCCAAAACGAATATTCCAAACCGAATCTCGCTGGAAGGTCTTCAAGTATATTCCAAGTAGTACCCAGTGCACCTCGAATATAGTCGAAAGACAGTCGACAACGCGAGCAAGCATTTCATTTCCTATTATTTCAGCTGTAGGAGACAAATCTGACAGAGAATCCTTCTGCGCATGCTGGTGCTTCTTTCTGAACTTTGGGCTCATCCAGCTTCGTCTGAGCTTCATGAAGCAGAATGTCTCTAATGAGTCCAACAAGCAACGGCTCGATTAACCGGAGATGGTACTATTAGTATCACTTACAATACCGCAGAAGTTCTTGATTTCCTTCACATAATTAAGCTATGTATGTTCAAAGACAGGCCCGGAGATATATCCAACAAGCTCTCAGTAACCTTTGATGTTGCTATGCTTGATACAGTAGGAGTAGAAGCTAACGTCCCACTGTCCAACTTCCTCTTCCTGGATGTGGATGGAACTAACACAGATTGGCGTGGCTCACACGTATCCATCAGGCAATCCAGGCCACAGATGTGCGAGGTGTTCTCATCCTACCTGTATACAACTGCTGCTTCAAACAACCGATGCAACTGGTGGATCAGGATCTGCAGCAATCTATGTAACAGCATTTTGAGCCCAAAACCTATTGTACAAGCCTTATGGTAGTGTCAGAAACTGGTTTGACTTTTCTCTCTAGAGGATTGACTGTCTTCCACTCTGCATGTTATGCTAAAGCCCCATTGAGAGACTTGTACCATATGCAGAAGATATATTGAATATAATGGTATGCATCTCCTCCCGACCATAGACGCCAGAGTAGAGGAGCATGTACGAGACTAGGAGTCGTCGTCCACACCTAGTTGCTCCGATTGAGTGTGCTAGAATGTTTAGTACTCAGGAAGGTGTTGCCATGGCAAGTTCGCCTCGATGAATATGAAAAATGGAATGCTCTGCAACTGGAATTTGGAATGCTCTGTCCTCAGGCTGCAAGGGTCACAAGTAGCCTTCCACTGCGTACGTTCGGTGACCAACTCTGTCATTTCCTTGTAGTACGGTACAAAGAGAAAAGTTCATAAACTTTTCTGTTTCAACCTTGAGTTGTGTCATGGGAAGCACCACCATCTCACTCAACAACGTAATAGTCCTTTAATGTGGAAAACTCATTCAACGCAGCGACAGTACCTAGCGTGGGAAGAAAGATGTAAAGTTTGCAATCCTTACGCGAACATGAATCCCTCTGTATTTCAGGGGGAGAGAGTGAGAGGACTGAATACGAGAGAGTGAGGTGTCGAACATTCACACGGATAGTACTTGAGAATCTCAGATCCCGATTTCCAAGGTTTGAGGTGAATGTGTTGAGCAGTTATAGAGGGAAATATGGCGAAGGATTCGATGCTGTACTGCAAATTTATATATACATATCATATTACAAAGCTAACGTCGAGATTGGGCATGCATGGATCAATTCTTCGGTACAGTGTATGTCCACTGTGCATCTCCCATATCAAAATCAGAAGCAACTCACTTCCGTACGTATCAGGTAAAACAACATTCATATTCATGAGCTATAAAAAACTGAGCAAAAACCTCAACCACAACCGCCCCGCCTGATTGAACAAGCTTACAGGCACTCGGAGCTCTCCTGTGTTTGGTCCATTGACAACATGCTTCCTTTCATGTTCCAGCAGATTATTATTATCCTCTGCTGAGAACAGATTTGGAAAAAGATAGCCTCGAAGCTACACCTGTCGCTCTGGACTATGCTGTCCTCCTTCCAATGACCGACCTCCTGATAAAGTGTGAAGTTTTATTACTTATGTTTTATAATGTTACTTAAGCTGACCGAGGGCAAACTTCAGATATTTCTCAAGTTCGTGGAAATCCACTTTGGCAAGATCGATGCCAAGTGAACGAGGGACTCCAAGACCGTGTTTAACAAAAGGAAGGACAAAGGAGGCTTGCCAATGGAACATGAGATACGTCCAGCAAAGAGTTAAGCCGAATACGGTGTGCCTTCTGAACGTGTCGTAGCAGAGGAGCTGGCTACACTCGGAAGGCTGAAGCCAGAGAGACTACCTCCAGAGGTTATATCAGTGGCATGCAAAAAGGTTCTCAGATTGCAGGTTTTTCGTGCAGGTGGAAATTGGCAGAAGGTAGAGGCAACTTGCTACAGAAGTTCACTTTAGAGCAACCTGCAGCAGCGGCCAAACTGCTGACCAGGGGATTCATTCTAAAAATGATCATGGAAACAACTGGAAAATGCTTGTGTAAAGCAGCATGCCAAAACTTTCATCATACCCATTAATTACTGGCCATGGCAAATGACAAAACCCTGTGCAGGAAAAGGTGGCCCGAACGAGTCCACCAACGCAGGGCACCGCTTTCAACCCGATAAGTAAACTCCTCGACAAACTACGTCCAGTAACCGACTGACAGGATCAGCGGAGACTAGCAACAAGCCAAGAAGATATTCCTCTACACCTCAAGATCTGATAGTTTCTGCTGATAGTGAACTGGTTGGTTGGTCACAGGAGCCTCTGCGAACATCGAGCAAGACAACATGGAACGCTTTTATTCTTTCTCTCATCTTCCAATTTAGCTGCTCGGACGGAAGTTCAGACCGCAGAGCAGAGATTATGTTTCGCAATCAAGCCCAGCTGGTCACGGCAATCAGCCGTGAAATTTGCCGTGGATTTTACGCTTTACGGCCTCTAGAATACAGTTGGCCTCCGACTCCATGGCCTCGGGGACTTAACATAGAAGGTCTGCTTTCAGACATGGAAGTCTCCAGTAGACTAGGCGAGATTCCTGGGCCTCTGTCTTCCTGACCCGAAGTTTGTGCCGGAAACGGGAATAGTAAGAACGAGCGGCAGGAGCGGAAGATTCATATCGGCAGAGTGCAGAAACTGCACTCTGTCGCACAGATCGCTTCAAGCTCTGCAGCAGTAGATGTTCAGGAGGTTCGAGATGTGCATGTGAGATAGAGGCATTCGGCAGTCTCGATTCGTCGGTCTTGTGTCGCCCAATGCAAGCTCATACACTTCTCTTAACAAGATCTCGGTCTCAGTCTTGGCTCCGTCCGATGTACATACATTCACTGTTTCCTGGCGGAGGCATGCAGGGACAGTTAGTCGCCCTCTCCCTCCCTCTCGCTAATTAATCATTTGGCGGATCGATAAATGGGATGGTACATTATACGCGTTAAGAGATTCATCGAGTGGTGAATGAGAGGAAACAGCAGCAGCAGGCTCATGAGACGGGCCTAAGCCTCGCAGCCCATAGCACCGTAGCTTTTCACGGTGCGCAAAATCTCGCCGCTTACCGTCAGACTGGTCGTCATAAACTCGGGGTCCATCATTCTCCAGTCTTCTAGCCCGTCCTGGATGACCAGAGGTCGAAGATTATCCATCATGGACCTCATCAGCCAGCCAGCCAGCCAGAAGCGCTAGGCTTATTAGAGATAGATCTTCTCAGCACTCGGGCCCGTCGTCAGGGACTCCGCGAGCGCAGAGCTCGATCATGACACTTTCTGTCGCCATGATCGCAAGCGTGCGAGACGCACTTGGCAAGCGAGGGGAGAGTTTGAGAGCCCGAGACCTAGACCTAAATCGGCGCTGCGGTCAACAACAAGTCCAAAATAGGTGACATCGACTCGCTCAATGCATCATTAGTGCTGACAAGTGACAGAGGCGCCAATCGGAGCTCGAAATCTGGATCTAAAACGAGGAACTTTTACGGCAGAAAATCTTCGGGCGATCTGGCACTTAGCGGCCACTGATGGAGCCTCCGGCCCTTCTGAGAATAGAGTTAGTGAGTGCCTTTCCCATATCGCCCTGACATCACATTCGGCGATGTGTTCCGGAGCAACATCAGAGATCCAACCCGCCAGCCAGCCAGCCAGCCAGAGGTGACATAAGCCACTTCGCTGCCCGAAAAACGATCTCACATGTGGCCGCCGTCGCTCGGTTCACGTGTCTTGGGTGCACATCATCTCGTGCAGGGTTGTCATGTCTGTTGATTAATCAAAGCATGCGCTCTCTCGTTATTGTCTACGGAGTCGCATCGTAAGATGCGTACTTGTGCAGAACGAGGTACTCGTAATGATCCTGGGGTTATCAGACGAGAGAAGGCTCTCGCTCTGGATGAGAGCATAAATGCTCTTCTCTGCGCTATATTGTTCACATGCGAGCGAACGATCGATGTCTGGTCGGGCCAATCCAGAGACATTCTTTCATCTGACCGAAGCCGAGGCAGTTCGGTGGCCTCTTGGATTTGAGAATCCCGCTTCCTCCCCAGATTCAACCAGTTCAGAGCAGAGACTCGTCCTCTTCTCGTCGGTCGATCGGGGCACCGAGCAGATCTCACCACATCCGACGATGTACGGGTGGAGAACCTCCTACGACAGCAGCAGCAGCCGCGTCGCAGGCAATACGAAATAACATGGCAGCACGCGAGGCCTGAGAACCTCGTCTCGGGGGACAGACGAGTAGCAGCAGCTTCCCGAGCGGAAGCAACGAGACGCTACGAGACAGATGCAGGGGAGCAAGGACCCTGACCATCAGATCAGATCACACCCACCCCCGCCCATTGCATTCCATCCATGAGTTGCAGCTGCAGCTGACTCGTGCCTGCGCTCGGTCGAAGTCTTTAGCTTCTCTTCCTCTCTTCGACCTTTTGTATGGCGTGCGTGCAATCTCGCTCCCACATCAATTCTCACTTCTTCTTCTCTATCTGTATGTGACAGAAAATTCTTTATCTTCCGCAGAAATGTATCGGTCGCCACGAGGGCTGGAACATGAATCATTCAAGGTCCGGTTGTTTATACACGAGGGCTTCTGAACCTTCGACAAGGGCCCCGGTGCTTGTCGGAACGGGCTCTCCGCGATGCACATAGAGAGCATTAGGAGGCAGAAACATCCGAAGACACAAAGCCTCTCTTTGTCGATTTTATTTGCATATTCTATGAACGAAAAGCTATGAATCTGTGCGAAATTGTGTGGAGATTATTCTTGGATCAAGTTTCGTGATTGAAGAGACTGGATAACTACATTGCGCTTGCGGCTTGCATATCTACTTAGGTCCAACTACGAACACTTTTCCGTGCAGAAAAAATTGTTCGGAATTTACGTGCAGGAGTGTGAGTCTCCCAGTTGATGGTTGTGATAGGATCGATGTTTCTTTTACTTCCCCAACAAAAATCCCGGCGCCTTTCTTTATTTCGTCTTTATTTATTTGCCAATAAATGGATACGCACCACACACAAATGTAAAAGGCATGTATGGAGGTTGTACGGAGTTTAACGTTTCACCACGGACGAAGGCTGTGAAGTGAAGTAAGGTAGTGAAGAAATCCTAATTTCAGATTAACACATAAGAAACATACATTTAATAGATAAAGTAAATTTTCAGTAAACTAGACAACGAAATTCTTAATTTTCATATCTCAAAAGATTACACTTTACCTGATATTATCAGTTAATATCGAATTAGTTAATATAATTGATATTCGATCAATATCAATATATCTATTCTATCAAAATCGGATCAAGATACTGGTGCCCTGAACGGAGTTTAAACAATCTGGTTTTCATCACCAGAGACAGTATGTACACAATATCAGATCAAATGGTAGAATTGTAGTATATGAAGAGAAAAATTTGATCCATGTTGAAATCTCTTTGCTTTTCATCGTTAATTTTGAACCAAAAATTTAATAAAACTAGAGCATTTAGACCTCTTTATTTTGAGAGGATTTTCGTTTATTAGTTATTCATATTAAAAAATTTATGCCATATTGAAGAACTCAAGCAATGCAAGTTGGATCTTGATTGCAAAATATTAATATTGTCAAAAAAAAATTAATATTCCCAATAACTTACAATCTCGATCATTTGAAGCATTTTCAAACGAACTTGATTCATGTCATTTAATCGTACACTATTCTGGTAAAGAGAATCAGTATTTCTATCAAAAGCATTAAGGATCACGTGCAAAGATCATATCATATATCATTGAACCTCTATTGTTCTTGCATCCTCGTTGATACATGAGGTGATTATAAACTTTAAGATAATGACAGATTTTTACTTCCACACCCATGATCTATCAATCATTCTCCAATATGCGGCAATGTTAATCATGAAAAGCAAAACCCCCAAAAAATTATTTCGAGAGAGGAAAAAATGCATGCCACAAACATTCCAAAGAACCTGCATATCACGTCTACAATCATTTGACATTACATCGAACTCCGATCAGTCCAAGAGTAAAATATAATACTTTAGGTTTCGTTCTGCCCACATAATTGTTTGGGTCGTGGTCGACAAATCGAAGGCCCGTGAATTCCTTCACGGGCTCAACGAAGAGCTGTCTGGCTGCCCCTAGAAAGCGAGGGAGGTTACGAGATCCTCGCACCTCAGAAGAAGGCGTCGATCTCTCGTGGCGCTCGTACACGGCCACGGGCGGGGTCTCGAGTCTTCCGGGGCTTCGAATCGAGACTGCGATCGGGACGTCGTCATGGCTCGATTTCTCGCACAAGCCGCTTGCATGTCAAAGCTGTCAGGCTTCGAGTCCCAGATCGAGCGGCGTTATTGTTCCTGACAGACGGCCCCCTCGGGCGGGCCTCTGGACTCGGTCGAGGCCGAACCGACGAACGAGAGCTCCATGTGGCACAAACCTAACAACTCCGAGTTACGCCCCAAACGTCTTGAACTCCCCACCCCGTTGTCTCCTCCTCCACCTGCCCAATTCAAAGTTCCCGCATCGAGTCGCAACGCCAACCGACTGACGGATGGACGGATGGACGGACGGCCTGGTCTCCCTTCAATTCCCACGCACGGAGCCAGCAACGACGCCTCGCGACCTGCAACCGGCTGAGATGTCGGGTTCGTACCGGTTTGGTAGGTCTTCTCGACCGCCTCCCGCCTGCTGCAACGGGCGCCGGTTCCGCCATGCGGTTGATCCAGCGACTGCGCCGCAATGGCATGGCGGAAATTGCAACCGATTTCAGCACCTGGATTTAGTGAGTGAGTGAGGTGAGACCTCCCATACAGACCGAAGACCCTGAGGCTTTACTAGTGGAGTCTTCGTGTACCCGTGCACATTGACTGATTGATTGATGGACTTGCCAGAATTCTCGTGAGAATTTTGGGAAGTTCATCAATAAAAAAAGAAAGTTCTCTGGAGAATTAGAGAAATCTGAACTTTGCAGTTAGAATGTGAAGTTCTCTTCGCAAGAGCAATTTATCCAGAGTCAAGATAATATTTGCCCTTCGTGACAGCCAGTCTGTTGTGATACTCTGCATGGTCCAGGCTAGCCACGAAATCCGGATATCGGTCCGCCGATTATACATTCTCATGAGTTTAGAATAAAATGACGCCTTACCTTCCCTCCCCTTCATTCACATGAATTTTTGAATGATTTCAGTTCCAAATCATTCAAAAAAAGTTGCCGTTTCTGGCATTGAAACAAATCACGACGTTATAATCAGAAAGTCCAAGTGCTTGTTGTTTCCAAGAGCGTTTAGGCTTGCGCTTCAGTGGAACTGGGATTCAAATCGATTCAATAGGACAACGAACAAATTCGCAGGTTCTGCCTCTTCTTATCGAAGGAGGAATCCTGTCTTTTGGCCTGATATGGAGGGCTAGCTCGTAGAGGTATGTTTGTATGTAAAGCATGTGGGTTCCAGACGTCATGTGACCTGGAAGTCACGTCCACTTAGTTCGACATTTGTCTCTATGCCTTGTCATACTCGGTACCTCGATAATATTTTCCAATATTTTTGAAATCTTGTTGATGATATCTAGATGGCATCTGGAATGTCGGATTCCTCAACTTTCGGGTAGAATGCAAATACTTTCATATTCAGGTACGATGTAAGCTCTGCAGTGGTGTTAACTGAAGAGGAAATGCCTGCATTGTAAAAATGTCAATGTGAACTTTCTTCTTCATAACAATTAGTCTAAATAATGACTTTATATTTCGTCCGACATGATTTTTCAAATCCAATGTTAAAATATGTCAATAAATCATTTCTTCCAAAGTGCTTTATTTCCTCACTTCATACACATATTGGGTGTATAAGTTGAAAATCCTGCCTCAAATTTAATGTATAAAACTAGTCACAGCATTGCATAAACTTTTTACTACTAAGGATTATCCCCCAAAAAGCATAATTCTCTCGTTTTTAAAAGAAAAACTTTCCTTTTTATCCAAAGTAAAATTAATCCTCACAAAGAAGATTTTACTAAATTTTTACCATGAGAAATTTTTTTAACTATAAATTTACGTAGATTCAATTGTTTGATGACATTCAATCAAATGAGAAGATTGTGTATCTATGAATCAAATACCAAAAATGCAAAGGGAGTAACAAATACAAACGTTCCTGTGAATATTTACACTTTATTTCATTATATTTTCTTTAATTCATATTATCGACACACCTACCTCAAATAAGATTCTTGTATCCATCATTAAAAAATCAATGAGTCAGGAGGAGTAAATTATCTAAATTATAAAAATATAAATATTTTATAATTTAATAGACAGGACGTAATTAGAAATTAGAAATTAATAATTAAGAAATCATCTAAATTATAAATTAAATTAATTCGGTTAAAAATATTTCACAATTAATAATGAGTAAATAATTTTCTAGTTTTTCATTTATAAAATCATTTACTCACATACAGTTCATTTTTCATTTCGAAGTCATTTTCTTGAGAACGTGCATAAATGAGAACATGCACGTAAATAAGGCTAGGTACTCTGGAAAACAAGGTTATTTTACCAAAATTATAAACTTTGTGTCTCACATAGAATAGCTTCAGCCGCATCTCTTACATAACGCAGACTAACTTGTCTAACTAATTATAATTCAGTTCAATAGAGTTATCCAAGACCTGGATTGACTTATAGCTAATTATATTCATCGTATTTTATATGTTGTGTTAGATGCCAAGTTTTTCATATTTATTTTCAGGTAAAGTATATGATCATTTAATATATTAAAAATTTTAATTAATAAAAAATAAAGGTTTTAATCCCTGAGAGAATGATCCTAAAAAGAATTCTTTGAAATTTTAAGTTTACTTTTTTCATAGTTATGTAGTTATAATAGTTTACCATATGAAACAGGTTAATATTTTTTTTTGCGCAAATTTTTCTTCAGATAAAAGAGATCTTTCTTCTATTTCATCTCTAAATATTTGAATCTAAAAGAATTTAATCTGAAAGTGAAGACGTTGTACATCTATTATGCATCGTAAGGTTCATCAAATTTGTTATATATAAAAGATTCAAAAATCCCGTTACAAACCCAAAAAATTATATCAATAGCGAAAACATATATTTCCTCCTGATGTCTGTTGTTGAATTGAGCTGATCATGATGAAATTATATTTTATCAAAAAAATATCATCTCAAAGATATTTTTAGCGAGTGCTGATTGAATAATCATCATTATGTACATGTTTTTCATTTATTGGCTATATATACTGAATGATGATTTTTTTGAACTGATGTTGTTTATAATGTTGATATTGAATAATAGATCATCTAAAGTAACTTGATAACTCGAAAGAAACACTGTGCAAATCGTGTCTCATAGAAAGATTACATGAGATTATTGTGGAGTAGTTGGTAGGTTTCATTCCAAATTTAGGAATTTCAGATTTCTTTTTTTCCCTACGTGTGTTGATAATCATCATGATATTCAAAGAGACTGAGTTGGACTGTTCTATAACGTACGAATTCTATTTCGTTAGAATTAGTGACACACAATAAGGCATCTCTAGCTCAAAAGATTGCGTTACGCTCTCGCACACCGTAAGTAACTGCACCTTTTGAGTCACAAGCCTCACCTTCACGTCCATCTGACGGGGGGCATGATCATCGGCGCTGATCGGTTCACACGCGGTTGTCAAACCAACCATCTGATGGAAATACCATGAAGTCAATCTTCCGTCAAGGCACTGAGGAATGAAATGAAGACTTGAGGACTTACTCACCAGTCGTACCCATCTTACTTAACCCCGTTTGCTTTCATCCATCCATCCATCCATCCATGTAGGACATTATTCGCGGTCTCCCCATCCTCTTTGAAAAATTACTTGGCCCCCTTCTTAAGAAAAAATACAATAATAAATCAGATAACGAAAGAACTTTTCTTTCTCTTTATCAGATCACTTCCAGCTTTTAGAGTTTACTTCACCGCTCTACACAATGGATAACCATCTTCTCGTAGTAAATATCGAGTTTGTGTAGTGAAAGTAGTTCCGAGCTGCTAGTTCCCTGCGCTGATGATGCAATCATATCGCAGCAGGTCCGTAGGCAAATGTGGTGGCGCTACTGAACAGTTATGGAAAGAAATACGGGAATGACATGAGAAGATGTACATCTCTTACAGTTGAAACAAAAATGAAAAAATAAGAAGAAAAGGGGTTTGTCATACTGATATGTGCTGAGTACTGAAGCCTGCACTCGAATTACATGTGGACGAGATATTATAAACCAAATGACTAGCAAATTATGCCTGCACAAACCAGTGATTCCACGGGCTTCACGAGGTGTCACCTAACTTATGAAGAAGTTGGGCTTTTGTACATACAATGAGCTGCTGCCGAGTACAGTACTGACTGTTGCTCTCCTACTACAGACTGTAGGTAGGATACTTGCTGACACCTTAACCAGGCTCAGAGACTGGGACTGGGACTGAGACTGACGGACAGGAGTCACTGGACACAAGTACCTGCCTCCGTCGATCACTTGCAGCAGCCCCTCGGCGAGAAGATATACACCACTTTAGTGATGTCCTCTGCCATTTTGTCCTCTGAAATAGGTTCTATCTCGTCGTCCTTACGGACCAGCACTTGGTGGGTCTTATCGGGACGGACTGGACTGGACTCACCTTTCGGGTTTCAAGTACATCGACAACTGTCCTTGTTTTCATCCATGAAAACCATCCTCAGTGGTGCTTTTTAGCTTCTATGGATTAGACGGAAGCTCGTTGCGTATGTTTTGTTTCCGTTGTGCGTTGTACATGTAGTCACAGTTGAGCGGTGTGCACGAATATTAGCAACGCTTAGCATTGGGTCCGGCGGGTGCAAGAATCGTTCGACCAGATATGATTTAATACTGGAACGTGGATAAAATGACGGTAGCTCAGTGCTCAGGGACTGCGGATTACTCGTGTGCCTGCCTGCCTGCTTCTCATCTGGAAATTCCGAAGGTTCGAGTTGGGTGGAACCTCGTAGCTTTGGGCCAAAGTTGCAGAAACCAGACTCATCCAGTACTTGACTGCTACAAGTAGACGTCGATATGAAGGAACCTTCGACGTTTCACTTTCTCGTCCATTGCACATTACACAGCTCAGCTTTACCGGAGGTGTTTACGAAAACTTTCCGTCTGTCTCTTTCGGTCCCAGATGAACATCGTTTGAGCATCATGGACGTCGAGCTTATCTGCGGGCGTTCAGGTCCTCTAATCAAACCCTTTGTAGGACTGGCTTCTTCTAATACAGGCCTCTGTAGATCATCTATCTTGTCCCTTTTTAGGACCAGCTCTGGCTAAATCGAAACATTCCAAGTATAGTCAGCGATGTGAAGTATAGTGCTCTCCCAAGTCTACTAGTAGAAGGTCTATAATAAGTTCATCTAACTGCTTCTTCCATGTCTTCCAAGAGTGCAGTTAAGTGGCGACCCTTCGGAAAAGTTCAAGCAGCTGGAAGTGTTCCTCGCGAGCAGCTCCCAGTTGCCAAGCTTTCCAATAAAACCAACAAGTTTGTTTACAACACTACAATAACACCTTCGGAATGATACTCCCTTCGAGCACATATCTCTACCTTTCTGGTGAGTGCTTCGAATAAAACGTGCAGGATTCACCTGCAAGTTTCCTTATAATATTTCACGAGTCCATCCCATCGTGCGGTTGCATTTAGAAGGTTTGAGCAACACAACAACCCCTCTACGTCCCGACCCAAACCTTTTCCATTTTTCGGAGTAGAGCCCACGTGATGTTCGTAATTGCTTGTCGACTGATCCCCAGTCCTTTCAACGATCTATGAACTAGCTCAACACAACTCCAACTGCAAGAATCTATGTAGTTGTCTATGAATTCGAATCCCTGAGATCATTCACGCTCATGCCACAATCTAGAAACTAAGGTTCAAACAACTTATCTACCGAATACGTTTTAAGAAGCTGCGTCACTTGGGTTTGAACATATAGTCGGAGAATGTGACCCTAGGATACCCGATGACGAAATATGGCGGCTTATTTTTTTTGAATACTCACGTCGAGAGGAAAACTCCATGAAGCCACTAGTGAAATTTCCAAAGTCACTTACTTTCAGCCATTTCCCCACATGGATACTTCTGGTTGTTGTTTGTTTTTCCTCGGTTGGAAGATGGTTACCGCCTACTAACGAAAGAGCCGGTGGACTTGATTTCACTTGGCAACTTGCCAGTCCAACCTTCGCCGCCCTGCAATGTGCTAGAAAGGACACAC